GGTTGCTTAGGCTTTTATTATATAGATTTAAAGGGATTTTTGGTTTATTTTCAATTAGTTGTAGATTAGATAACTAAATGCTTACAAAATAATTATCCATAAAAATATGGCTTTACGTATTTCAAGATTTTTTTCCTCAAAGAGTAAGTGAAATCACTTTTAACAATAATTTTTGAAGCAGTGTGGCTTTGTAGGCAGGTCATGTCTCTTCCCCCTTCCAGGCCTCAGTTGCTTCATCTATAAATGAAGAAGTGAAGTGAAATAATTTTCTTAGGGCCTTTAGCTCTAACATTCTATGAATTAATTATATTAATCATGAAATGCATTAGATACAAATAAATGATCAATTGCTAAGGAGAAGAAAGTTTTCATCTTAGTAATGCTTACATCAGCTGTGAAAGACATTTATATAGCTAGGGACGATGCTCTAACTTGACATAACTTTCCTGCTGACATGAAAAATGTGCAAGATTCTAAATAGCATATGGCCTTGACATTGATTTGTTATTCCACTTATTTATGCACTCATTGATTAATTCTTATGTGTGCCCTGATGGGGATTGCAACCTTAGTGTATTAGGACAATGCTCTAACCCAGTGGTCGGCAAACTGCAGCCCCTTGAGTGTGGCTCTTCCACAAAATACCACGTGTGGGCGCGCACGTACAGTGCAATTGAAACTTTATGGCCACACTCAAGGGGCCAAAGAGCCGCACGTGGCTCACGAGCCGCAGTTTGCCGACCACTGCTCTAACCAACTGAGCTACCCGGCCAGGGTAGCCTTGACTTTCTTTATATCCCTCATCTATAACTATGGAGTTGTTGATCAATGCTTTTTCATCTATGTGTACCCTCCCGCCCCTGCCAACTTATTATTTTGCTTTAAAGAACTTAATATGTGAATGAAAAGTTTTAATTCTACTTTCTTGAGGTATTAACTTTCATAGGATAAATACACTCAATTAAAATGTACATTTGATAAATTTATGCATCTATATAACCACTACCACAATTAAGTAGAACACTTCTATCACCCTAAAAAATTCCCTGTATCTTTTCCTAGCTAAACCCCACTTCTTGCCCTACACGACTACTGATCTACATTTGGCACTACAGATATATCTTTTCTAGAGTGTGAACAAAGTTTTAATTTGTATTTTTTTTTTCAGTCTTGGATTGCATTAAAAATGAATTTTTATTGATTTCAGAGAGGAAGGGAGAGGGAGAGATAGAAACATCAATAAGGAGAGGGGGAGAGACCAAGATGGCGGCATAGGTAAACACCGCAGACTGCTGCCGCAAACAACCACTTCAAAAATACAACTAAAAGACGGAACGGACATCACCCAGAACCACAGGAAGGCTGGCTGAGGAGAGACTCTTCAACTAGAAGGAAAAATAACAGCACACCGAGGCTCAGAGGAGGCGCAGTGTGGAAAAAACTCAGGTGCGGAGGTGCGCGCGCAAAGCGGGCTGGTGGCTGAGAGCGCGGTTGTCGTTTTCGGTCAGGGGGGAGTCTCAGACTCTGAGCTCCAGATACGGGCGAATCGCTGGGGACTCGGACCCAAACGGGAGAAGCGGGAGTGTCTGGCATCAGTTGGAAGGCAGCTTTCCCTCCGAGGTTTGCAGCGGTTCCGGGGGTTCTGAGAAGCAGAGCCTCTGGGAACAGGACTGAGGGCACCATAACGGCTCCCTCCGCCCGCCCTGTTGAGCCCGCCCCGCCCAAGCCCTGCGCAGAGCCATTTGCCGGATCGCCGCAGGCAAAGGCTAGATTAGCGCCCCCCCAGAGGACAGAAGTTTTCCCACTGCAGCAGACACAGCTGATTCTCACAGCCAGTCGGCCTGGTGGTCAAATCCCTCTAGTATTAACTACAACAATCAAGGCTCAACTAGAACAAGACTGCGCACAAAGACCACTAGGGGGTGCACCAAGAAAGCATAAAAAATGCGGAGACAAAAAAACATGACAGAAATGGAGGATATAGAGCTAAAAAACGCAATTTTGAGGGCTTGCAATAAACTTCTGGAGAGCCTCACGAAAACTAATGAGACCCTCGATGCTATGATAAAGAAACAACTAGAAATTAAGCATACACGGTCGGAAATAAAGAATATTACACCCAATAGCAGACCAGAGGAGCGCAAGAATCAAGCCAAAGATTTGAAATGCGAAGAAGCAAAAAACACCCAACCGGAAAAGCAAAATGAAAAAAGAATCCGAAAATACGAAGATAGTGTAAGGAGCCTCTGGGACAGCTTCAAGCGTACCAACATCAGAATAATAGGGGTGCCAGAAGATGAGAGACAGCAAGATATTGAAAACCTATTTGAAGAAATAATGGCAGAAAACTTCCCCCACCTGGTGAAAGAAATGGACTTACAGGTCCAAGAAGCGCAGAGAACCCCAAACAAAAGGAATCCAAAGAGGACCACACCAAGACACATCATAATTAAAATGCCAAGAGCAAAAGACAAAGAGAGAATCTTAAAAGCAGCAAGAGAAAGAGACTCAATTACCTACAAGGGAATACCCATACGACTGTCAGCTGATTTCTCAACAGAAACTTTGCAGGCCAGAAGGGAATGGCAAGAAATATTCAAAGTGATGAATACCAAGAACCTACAACCAAGATTACTTTATCCAGCAAAGCTATCATTCAGAATTGAAGGTCAGATAAAGAGCTTCACAGATAAGGAAAAGCTAAAGGAGTTCATCACCACTAAACCAGTATTATACGAAATGCTGAAAGGTATCCTTTAAGAAGAGGAAGAAGAAAAAGGTAAAGATACAAATTGTGAACAACAAACATGCATCTATCAACAAGTGAATCTAAGAACCAAGTGAATAAATAATCTGATGTACAGAATGAACTGGTGATTATAATGAATCAGGGACATAGAAAGGGAATGGACTGACTATTCTTGGGGGGGAAAGGGGAATGGGAGATGCGGGAAGAAACTGGACAAAAATCGTGCACCTATGGATGAGGACAGTGGGTGGGGAGTGAGGGCGGAGGGTGGGGCGGGAACTGGGAGGAGGGGAGTCAGGGGGGGGAAAAAAAGAGGAACAAATGTAACCTGAACAAAAAAGATTTAATTAAAAAAAAAAAAAAAAAGAA